ACACACACACACACACACACACACACACACACACACACACACACATTTATTTATTTCTTTATTTATTTTTTCCAGAATTTTCAGAAAAGTCCACTTTCATCTCTGATTCATACATATTCGGGATTTTGCAAACATTTAAAAAAATATTTTTACCTTCTCTTCATCCCGACTCCCAAGCCCCTCCCTCTTTCACAGATACGCCACCTCAGTATGTTGAGGCCAAGGAGGGAGGAAGCATCATTTTGACCTGCATTGCCTTTGGCAACCCCAAACCCTCGGTCAGCTGGTTGCGGGAAGGCAACCTTCTGGTCACCAGTGCCAAGTATAAGGTATCAATATTGAATTTACTCACTTGAGATATTTCATGAAATGGGACATGCGTTGCGTTTGGAAGCAAAGCAGAAACTCATTGCACTGTGCGTACTGTATTGCTCAAAACCACGCTATCTGAGACCAAGACTAGCCTGGATCATGACATGATCGAGGATTTTGGGAGTCGAGACTGAATCAAGACCAAGACAACCCAAGATGGAGAAAATACTAAGACTATTAAAATATATATATATATACACAGTCATACCTCGGTTTTCGACCATAATCTGTTCCAGATGGCTGTTCGAAAACCGATTTGTTCGAAAATCGAAACCACGCTCTTTTTAAAAAAAATCTTTATTGAACACGTCTGTTCACCATGGAACGCTAAACGGGGAAGCGTCACTTCCTTGTCTACCCGAGGAAGCGTCACTTTCTCGTGTAAGGAAGGTGGCAGGAGTCAAGTGACGCATTCAAGTGCGCTCAGTTTGTTCGAGAACCGAATTTCAGTCGTCATCCGAGGCATAAAAAACTTGAAATTTTTGGTCGAAAATTGATTTGGTCGAGAACAGAGACGTTCGAAAACCGAGGTTTGACTGTTTTATATATATATATATATATATAAATAAGAATATTCATCTTAGAGAGAATTTTATTCACTGCTTTTCCAATTAAAGCAAATCCGATTGAAAAAGAAACTATTACAAGTCCATAGGCTGACACAACATTGATTCAAAATACAGACGCTATCCTATTTACAAACACAATTCTAAATTAACTTATTTGAACATCAGCCAATGTGGCTGATGACTCTCTAAAGATACCAGCCATTCAGAATTTCCACAAGCCAATTTTATTATTATTTAAAAACTTTTATTTCAACTCCCTCACACTATCCGGGCTGGTTGCAGTCTTATCTATTATCCACTCAGCTTTCCTGCAGACATTAAATTTTCTAATAATCAATTAACCAGACATCAGTGGATCAGAACTTAATGGATCTGGACTGAATGACATCTTGGTGGATGCCAAATTATGTATTCATTGATTCATGCATTCATGCATGCATTAATTCATTCACCCATTCATCCTGCCTCTCCCAGATGATATTGGCAAAGTGGCGGGCTCGGCAGGTAATTGAAGGGCACTCAGCTATTGTTCAAAACTGAATAACTATTGAATAAATTGAATAAATATCTGGCAATTGGCTGGCAACTAGTTCTTTTCTTCTCCACCGCTTGCCCACCATTAGCGAGGATAGACTCAAGCAGACCCACGAGTGAGGATTAGCAGTACAGAGAATGGATGGTCACATGAATAAATATGCAAATTGTAGAACATTTTCATCTGTAGAATCAGCAATAGGACACAATTCAGTGACTGTAAACAAACACCATAAAACCTCTGCTCAAATTCCAGGTTTTTATGGTAGCAGAAAAAAATGTGTCCAAGATAATATTGTATATATTTAAATATTACTACATGTATTTTAAAAACTTTTTTCCCACGATTAATGTCACCTATAACCTGTACAACTCAACCTAAAAAAAAAATACATATACCTGTATAATATATGATGAAGAGGGGCAATACAAATAAGTCAGATAATGATGGTATCACAAGTGTGCACACTTTATAACTGGCGGTGTGGCTGTCTTCAGAATGAACCAAACTCTCAAACACATTCAACCTTCCTCTCATGTTAGCTTTCTGTTTTCTGTGATGTTTGTGGGTCGATAAAATTTACCACAACAGAAATGTATAAATAAATAAAACTGAGGGGTATAAAAATACATCTCAGTGCTTTTGGATCATGTGGTTTTTTTCCCCCAGCCTCACCTGCTCCCGTTTTGGGCATTGAGAATGAGTTTTTTTTTTTCAAGGATGGACTAAGCAAGGACGGGAATGGGTTTTCGTCCTTCCCCATAATTGTCTCTAACCGTCAAGTACCGACACACGCCCATTTCATCGACAACTAACAGAAACACGGCCAATCTGTCTTGCGTGTGTAATACGCCAATGCACTACTTCTGACCAAATGTGAAATATCACGACAGGTCGCTTGTCTCGTGCGTTCACCGTGTTTGTATGCGGGAGGGAGTGACTTCACTTCCGCATTGGGAACGCACTGGCGGAGCACAGGGAGGCATGGGTAAACTTATCTCTTAAATGCATTCCAAAGTTCCGCTGCTATGAGAGGTTTTTTTTTCAACAGCTCGCAACATCCTCCGACTAAAGAGGACCGCCCTGGCCAGCGCCAGCTTTGTCAAGCTGGTCTTCCAAAAGGGGAATATGTGACTCTTGGTTGTACCCCACCTATAAGGGGGCAGTTTGAGGAGGAGAAGCAGTAGGGGGCCGAACATAGCTACTGAGCTTTAAATAATGTTTAGGAATTATGACACCTTTGCCGTTATCCTCTGTCCCACGGCGTCATGCACGGACGCTTTTTTTTCCCCTTGGGCAGGGGGACGGACTGGTGACTTGCCAGTACGGTAGCTCTTTAAATGGATAAAGACGGATGGGAACAGGGGATGATTATTTTATGAATAAGGATGGAGGGCCAATGATGGAATGGTGCCCAGGTTGCAGACGAGGGACGGAGGACGGACCGGCAAAATAGGGTAAAGTGCCCATCTCTGTCTGTCACAAACCGACATTAACAAACTGAAATAACTTAATTGAAGGAGTCTAAAGGAAAAAGGCTTGACATTTACACCCATAACATGTCAAAGGAAAAAAAAATGACACTATAAATCAGGGAACTAAATAGGACAACCTTAACTGCTACGAGTGGTCTTAATGGCGACCCCTTTGTATGTTCAGGTATTTGATGGAAGTTTGACAGTGCTATCCATCACCCGAGAGGATCGTGGTGCCTATACATGTCGAGCCTTTAGCCCCCAAGGAGAGGCCATTCACACAACACGACTGCTCGTTCAAGGTGGGTCGCTCCTTTCTTTTCACTATCTCATGCTCGTGTTATGCATTCATTTATTCCAAGGGGAAGAGGCCACTTGTTTTTTGAACAAGGATCCCTTCACCCTACATAAAAGAACCAAAATGAGTGAGGTGACAGCATTTTGGAATCGAACAATCGCTGGTTGTTGTATGTACAAGTATGGACAGGGCTTCAGTGGCTGCAGTGACTTGATGCACCTTACCCTAGAGCAGAGGTGCCCATTACGTCGATCACGATCGACCAGTACAGGGGTGGCCAACCTGCGGCTCGCGAGCCACATGCGGCTCTTTGGCCGGCTCAATGCGGCCCCCGGGCTTTAAAATGACAAGCATCGAAAACGCCTCGGCAGTGGCGCTGTCATTCAAACAACGGCGTTAAATACACAGAACTTACTACGTCAGCCTGTCATCAATCCCGTTACTTGATTGACATACAGGGCAACCAATCAGATGACAACTGAATCACCGCTCAGCGCAAACCACGGTGCTTAGCGCTTATGATTGACATACAGGGCAACCAATCAGATGACAACCGAATCACTGCTCATGCGCAAACAACAGTGCTCAGCGCTAAACGCTAAGCTAGTCAGCGAATTATCTCCGATTTTAAAGCAGGGAGTCCAATACGTCAATCGCGATCGACCCGGAGCCCGCGGACTGGTCCCAAGTGGAGCGCGAACGTTGGGAGGAGAAAATAGGGCCGAAAAAAACTTTGTGTGTCTGTGTGTTTCGATTTCGTTCATGTTCGGTGACGTTCCGGCTGTCGCTCATCTCGGCGTGCGTGCGTGCTTGCGTATGCGTGCGTGTGTGTGTCTATGCTTGCACATGCGCGATCGGGTCGGTCGCGGGAGGTTCGTCGCTTCAAAAGTCGATCTTTGGTCAAATACGTAGCAAGCTGACCCAAGTAATAAGTAACCACTGCAGCTCGTGTGTGTGTGCGTGTGTGCGTGTGTGTGTGTGTGTGTGTGTGTGTGTGTGTGTGTGTGTGTGTGTGCGCGCGCGCGCGTGCACGTGCGTGTGCGTGTGCGTGTGCGTGTGCGTGTGTGTGTGTGTGTTTGTGAGAGTGATATGGCTCTTTGCAGTAAAACAGTAAAAAAATTGGCTTTTAGTCTCTGACTGGTTGGCCACCCCTGGACCAGTAGATCAAGGACTGGCCCCAAGTCGATCCGAGGGGTGTCGGGGGGGGGGACCCAAACAAAAAATTTGTGTCTCTGTGCATTTTAGTAATATATTTTTTGTGTTAATGCACACTGCACTCTAATCATTCTATCAGTGTCATTTTCACAAAAAGCATTTAAAAAACAAAATAAAATCAAGCAGATCATCTTTAACCTACGGTGACATGTGACTGCGTCACCGGAAGTTGTTAGCGCTCAGCAGTCTGCAGTTGCAGCTTATGATTAGAGTTGTTGCGCTATATCTTTTATCGTTATCATTATTCTCATTCAGAGTTTGTTTTGTACAATTCACCGAGGGGACGGGCAAAGAATGGGAATCCGGAGGGTCGAGAGAAGCATTTTAAAACGGTACGCGTGAGCTACGATCGTTAACAGGCTGCAAAAGTGCTTCGCACGCCTCAGCATCAGGCTATTGCTCATCATGGCATGCGTGTGTACGTGCGTGCATGCGTATGCGCGCGTGCACGGTAATGGGTCGATCGTGGGAGGTTGGTTGATCGAAAAGTAGATCTTTGGTCACAAAATTTTGGGCACCCCTGCCCTAGAGGCATGTATGCCGAGAGACCATGAATGAAGTATGAGTCTTTAGACCAAGAGTTGGCCCAAGATCAGGGTCACCAACCTTTTTGAAGCTGAGAGCTCTTCTTTGAGTACTGAGTCATGAAAAATGATACGTTTGATTCACACTTTTGAAATAACAAATTTGCTCTAAGTAAGTCAACATCAAATTTTAATCAGAGACGGATTTACCTGTGGCGGCCCGGTAGTCCAGTGGTTAGCACGTCGACTTCACAGTGCAGAGGTACCGGGTTCAATTCCAGTCCGGCCTCCCTGTGTGGAGTTTGCATGTTCTCCCCGGGCCTGCGTGGGTTTTCTCCGGGTGCTCCGGTTTTCTCCCACGTTCCAAAAACATGCGTGGCAGGCTGATTGAACACACTGAATTGTCCCTAGGTGTGAATGTGTGTGTGGATGGTTGTTCGTCTCTGTGTGCGCTGCAATTGGCTGGCAACCGGTTCAGGGTGTCCCCCGCCTACTGCCCGAAGACGGCTGGGATAGGCTCCAGCACCCCCCGCGATCCTGGGGAGGATTAAGCGGTTCGGAAAATGGATGGATGGATGGATTTACCTGTCCCTAAATATACTTTTAATGCTAATTTAAAAAATGTCTTACCTTTCTTTCTTGTGCATCAAGTTTTAAAAATATTTTGTTTTTCAGTTTGACCTATAAAAGCTTGCGCAATACAGATTTTACCATGCGTTGTCATTTATATCAATGATGTTTAAAAAAAAAAAAAAATTAATTCATAAATATTACTTGGAAACACATTACTGTACTACACGTATTATTGTTATCATCATTATTATGAAAACCTGATGTGCGAGAGAAAAAAATGAGGGCAGATTCTGAATCAGTGTGAAAAATTCTGATTTAAGAACAATTCTAAATAATATGATTGATGGTAATAATTAATGATTTTCATTGATGTGAAGACACTGATCATGTTAGTGATTTCTCACAATGAGTAGGAAACAGATAAATATCAATAGACAACACTTTCTTTCGATAAATCTCTGCCAGTGTTCACATTTTCAAAGGGTCACGTCTACAACAGTACAAGGAAATCACAATGTCTCATCACTGGATAGCTGTTTTTAGAAAAGACTCACGGCCGTTATGAATGTGAAACCATATAAAGTCAAGAATCATGATTTATTCGACTACTGTTTCAGTCACTGTGATGAGGGGTTTGGTAACAAGAAAATGCTTACAATATCTCTCTTATTTATTACCTATGAGAATTTGAAATTTTGGAACATATTATAGCAAACATTACAGAAGCTGACATGTTTGATTTGCTTTTCCCGAGCCACATAAAATTATTACAGAAGCTGCAATATTAGGCCCTCGGGCCTTGAGTTTGACACTGTGGTTTAACTGCACATTTAATTGGCTCATCTTTACCAAAAGAGATGGTGTGCAAATATCCCACCTCATTTAAGTTTGATATTGGAGCACCAAATGCACAGACTTGCCAAAACCAAAACTGAACGCTGCAAAGTATGATGCAATCTCCAGGGATTAAATGTTGACAATGAGCAACCAATCAGATTGTGCTGGAAAGGAGTCACATACTGCAAGACAGATCGGCTTGCTGTGGCCATCGGATTAATAAAAAAGATAGATGCCGATAATCGGCAAAATGCCAAATATCGGCCCCGGTAATCGGCTCTGCTGATGATCAGGGAGCACTGAGAGCATAGTAGTAAAACAGTGGAGCCGAATTGTGACAGATATCCAAAAGCATTAGTAAACTAAATTAAAAGAAATAGTAAAACAATTGTAACTAAATAGAGTGACCTAATCCTTTCAGGGATGGTGCTTACTACAGTGGACAGTTTATCGTGTTATCAGGTTACAGAGTGCATGAAAGAGTAAACGCTGCCCTCAATGAAAGCAATCCTGAAAATAGATTTTCAAAAAATGAGTTTTGTATTGTCCAAGAAGCTAAACTACAGTCCAGAGCCCTCACATTTACTCTATAATAGAAGTCACACACAACGTAATACCCAATCACCAGTCAGCACCAGAAATACACATTAACCAATAGTGAATGATCAACTACATGAAAAAAAAAAGTGCTCTGAATCATCTGAATCCAGACATATACACTTTTTAAGCAGACTGTATATCTACTTAAATATATCTGAATGCCAATGATGTTATTTTGTGCAACCACTTGACGAAATAAAATACAATTTGGTAAATTCAATCACCATAATTGACACTAGCTTATAAACGTCCTGAAAAAAAAATATTTTGAATGAATGCAAATAAGTGTAGATTCAGGTGAAAAAAACCAAAAATGTGAAGGAGCGGAGTTTTCCGCAAGTGTGTTAAGAAAAAAAAATCAGAACTGTAATAATGCCGGGATTCACTGTATATGGTTGTATGGCACAGCGCTACCCTGGACTGGTTACCAAGGAATTGCAGGGCACCTACAGGCTACATTCACACCGCAGGGTATAATGCCCAAACGTTTTATCTTCTCGTTTGCATTCAAAAAACAAATGTGCCTTCTAATATGAAGAAAATGTGTCCATGATGTGACATGCACAAAGCATGACGTTGAGCGAAATGTGGAGGGAAAAAAAGAAAAGAAAAAAACATCACGTGGCACAGTGTCTACAGAAGTAAGGCTTATCGTTTCATCATCTCATAATGCCAGAATAGCAAAGCGGGAGGAGGTAGAAATGTTTTGGGGAAATGAGACCACGCTCCTCTATCCTCTTTTTTGGAGACGTCTACTAAAGATGACATCATTTCATAAAAAACGAATGGCATCGGTCTACTTAATGCTTCATGTTGTTCAAGTGGGATTCATTTAAAGTCGGAAATAAAGACAACAGTGTGAGTCAAACACTTTTGCAAATTCACGAACATATTGGGTCCGATGTGAACGGATGAGTGTAGATACTGCAGACGCATCACACAACTATACGATTTATATCCACATACAAGAGGCCCAAGTTGGATGCCCATATTAATACCAGAAATCAAAATGATCATTTCAATATAATTTTTGGACATCGGCCTTTTCCTCACGAAGCGACATTAAGCTGTAGTGAGTGCCTCTGGAGAGAAAGACATTGTGATATCCATTAATTTTTTGGTGCTGACAAAAATGTTGACAATCGGCCATAATGTGCATGGCCTTGCCGAACATCCGTCTTTCACTCTTTCATGGCTCGCAGTTGATTTATCGATTGGGGTGGGGGGTAATGGCCCTGATATCGGTGAGATGTCACAAGTCACAATGTGCCCCCTCGTGTAAAATGTGGTCCCCCCCACAATGCCTTCTCCTTGCTACTGCGGCCGTGATAAGGCTTCCACAGAGAAGTGCCAATTTTACACCAACTTTCTGTATGATGTTATTTTCTTCACTCTAATTGCATGTGGCTATTAGCGCTGGTCTTAGTGAATTAGATGTTGTTTATCGTTGAGACTCATTTGCATCGGGGTGGGCAATTTCTCTGCCAAATATATGCACATTACCTCATTTAAATACACGCAATTACCACCAGTGCACCGCACAGTATTCTGCTTGGCATCACAGTGTGCTTTGTGTTTGCTCCATTTTTTTACCATTCAGCGCCACATAAAAAACACAAAATCCTTTCGTAAAATCCGCCTGTTTAGATTTGACATTCTCACTCGATTGTTCATGTTTACAATAATGATCTCAGAGCTATCACCTCATGGTGATGGATGGGTTTGTTTGTCCCAATGTTCTTTGGAGCTAAGTTGTCTGGGGCTTTTGCCCCTGGCAGGCTTACCCAAGGCAAACAGTTCCTAGTTAAGGGACCAGTCAAAGCATGGCACAGAAACCCTCTATGAAAATCAAAGTAAGTGGACCTTGTTTTTCACTTGCTTGGTCAACGGGTCAACCTGGCCTGTAGGTGCGAGTGCCTGGTGGCCTGGCCTTCAGCCAACTTTTTACTTTTACTGAGTCAGGAAAGGTCAGTAAGAAGTAGATTTTTTTTTCCACTTTTTAAAATTTAACTTTCTGGACATCTCCCTGGTTGAAGTGTTCTGCTCGCGGGAGGCCTCTGAGACAACCCGGTACATCTTTTCACGGCTGGCCTGGCTACCCTTCTAAAGAGCTGGAGAAACTTGAAGTGGAACGGGACCTCTTGGCTTCCTGGCTTAGGCTGCCGCCCCCATGACCTGAGCCCAGATAAACGAAGGGATACGGATGGATAGATGGATGGCGAGATTGATACTTTACTTGTCCAGTGAAGGAAATCAAATAATGGCCAAGCATCTAGAGTTTTCTTGATGATGTTGATGAGGCGTTTTCTTCATCAAAGAAATAATTTAGATCATTTGTTGTCTGTGAAACGCAAGTCAAGAAATTTTGAAGTCAAGTACTGTGTTCTCCGGACTATAAGTCACAGTTTTTTTCATAGTTTGGCCAGGGGTGCGATTTATACACTGGAGCGACTTATGTGTGAAATTATTAACACATCATTTCACAAGTTATTTTCACATTAAACCGCAAAAGGGCGCACTAGGCCTGTGTTGATAAGTCAATGATGAGTCTGACGTAAGCGACGTAGAAGAGGAAGCACTGCATCTTCTACCTCCGGAGTTGGCTGAGTTGTTTAAAACTGACACCGAGGATGATGATTTCATTGGATTTAGTGATTTGGAGGGACACTGATGGTTAGTTGGTATGTTACATGAACATACCAGGCACATTCTCAGTTCGTTGTTTATGCGTCATTTAACGTTAGGATATTGTACACTTATTCAGCCTGTTGTTCTCAATTTTTATTTTCCTTTCAAGGTGACATGTCTGTTCTTGGGTTGTATTTTATCAATTAAATTTCCCCCCAAAATGCGACTTCTACTCCAGTGTGACTTATGTGTTTTTTTGCTCTTTATTATGCATTTTATGGCTGGTGCGACCTATACTATGCCGTGATTTATAATCCAGAAAATACGGTAAATGGAATATTTAACTATTAAGACAAGAATCAAGGCAGCAATTGAAGATTGTGACCCTATTTACAATTATGTAATGAATGTCGAACCAATATTCGTGACCCTGAAGATATGTTTTCTTTTCGGACTAGGAAGGCAAAGCCTAAGAAAAGCCTCTATGTTCAGATGACCAGCTGTGTAGTTTATAGCAGTGATGGATTAATAGAGGTCCTCCTGGAAAGCCACTGAGCTGCAGATCAACTAAGAGTGTACAGTGCCAGCAAATCTCCAGCTCTCAGCTGGTTCCAAATAGGGCAGGTTGGCACACAGGCGCGCACACACATGAACACACTGCTTGTCTGGCTAAGGGGTGGCAGATGGAAATACTCTGCCTGTTAAAGGATCAGAATGTGGACCACAGATCAAAACTAACATATGGGACTAGCAATCTGTGTGTGTGTGTGTGTGTGTGTGTGTGTGTGTGTGTGTGTGTGTGTGTGTGTGTGTGTGTGTGTGTGTGTGTGTGTGTGTGTGTGGAGGGGGGTATTCTTGCAGTAATATTAATGAATGAATTCAATGATCCAATGTTTGCAAGTTGCTTTGACCAAGTAAAGTTTAACAATATGTTTAAAGTCACAACATCAAGTTGCTTTTTTCCACCCAAGACACTTAAAAATGTTGTGCAAAGAGGATCATCCATCTGGCATAGCAAGGATCACTTGATAAATTGTCATAATCCTTTTTTTTTTGAATGCAGAATAATTGTGATGGCACTGAAAGGGAAACCGTGCATGTGTTGGTGTTAATCTCTTTGTGTCCAAAAAGAAGGGAAAAAATGTCTATGCTGCTGTTGTATTACTTTATATTACCACACATTAACTATGGACATAGTTTTAATGTCAAAGCAAGGTCGTTAAAAATGGAAATAAAGTGTGTGTACCGTATTTTCCGGATAATAAATCGCTCCGGAGTATAACTCGCACCAGCCATAAAATGCATAATAAAGAAGAAATAAACATATATATAAGTCGCACTGGAATATAAATCGCATTTTGAAGGGAAATTTATTTGATAAAATCCAACACCAAGAAAAGACATGCCATCTTGAAAGGCAATTTAAAATAAAAATTTAAATAGAGAACAACAGGCTGAATAATTGTACGATATGATAACGTTACATGACACATAAACAATGAACTGAGAATGTGCCTTGGATGTTTACATATTAAGAGTTATTCAGATAACTATCGCATAAATAACATACGAATAAGTTTACCAAACCACCAGTGTCGTTCCAAATCACTAAATCCAATGAAATCTTCATCCTCGGTGTCACTTTTAATAAACTTCGCCAACTCCAGATGTAGAAGATGTGGCGCTTCCTCTTCTACATCGCTTATGTCAGACTCATCGTCGACTCATCAACACAGGCCTAGAGCACCTACTTGCGGTTTAAGGTGAAAGTAACGTGAAATGATACATTAATCTGCTAATAATTTCTCACATAAGTCTCTCCAAAGTATAATTCGCAACCCCTGCCAAACGATGAAAAAAAACCTGTGATTTATAGTCCGGAAAATACGATACTAGGTTATGGGGCTGGGCAATTCAGTTTGAGTGATACAGTACTGCATATTCCTTTTCCTGTTTCTTGTGTGTGTTCTACACCAGGCCCTCCATTCATTGTCTCACCGCCAGACAACATTACAGTCAACATCTCGCAGGACGCCTTCTTCACCTGCCAGGCGGAGGCCTACCCTCGGAACTTGACCTACTCCTGGTTCTGGGAGGAAGACAATGTCTTTTTCAAGAAGTAAAGTTCTGATGGGATTTATTCTTGTTCATCGCATCACACCCAAGTGTGTGCCTTCTGTTTAGCCTCCTTTTCATTTGTCTCCGTGTTCTTTCTTTTACAGTTTAAAAGACTGCATTGGAGGCATTATTATAGTGCTTGCGTCAATTCCTGTAATATCGATCAGTCTGCAGAATTATGTCCTTTTTGGGAGCATTCGTTTTCAACGAAAGACTTCTTTGACACGCTCAGTTGTAATCATAGCATCCCTCCTTCCAACTAGGGCAGTTCGAGCATCGTGCACAGATGAATGCAAAAAAAAATTGTTTATGCACTGCTCTCATGGCTGAAAATTGATTTTCTGAGCACTTAAATACTTTTTATTTCGGTTTCTATCAGATAATATGGACAGCATGATATTCAGGAGTGACGAGCATAAATTGACTTTTTTTCTTTTGAACGCGGTCGTTGGAAACAAGAAAAGTGAAAGAATATAAATTAAACGCACGGCAGAGAGCAAAGTTTTTTTCTTGTGGAAAGTCTAACCAAATCATTTCAAATTTCATTCAAATTAATATTCTTTGATTTCTGTGGTCCACATAAAAGTAGCTCCCAAATATTTTGTCTGGTTTTGGTTGGATTAGGAAAGGAGACATTTCAACATGAAGATGCCTCGACACAACTTGGATTGTTTTGGCAAATCTTCCTGGACCATAGTTTGTTTTTGTGTCTGTTAACTAATTCTTTGTCAAAATGAATGTCGTGCAGCTCCACTTTGGGATGGGTAGACACAGCGAAAGTCCAATTGTGCCAATATTCTCTGCTCAATAAAATTTCACAGTCAAAAGGCTGAGGCATGACACAGTTGTGGAATGTGTAAAGTAAAATGACTTACAATACTCTACATGAAACATCACGCCAAATAATCTGAGATTCGATGAAAAGTAATAAAACAAAAGAGCTTCTCATCAAATAGTCAGGCTAGTCACATTATGAATCTTATTGTAAAATGAGAGGTTAATAAACTCATTTGATGTTATTTTCCCCTTACTTTTCAGTGACCTAAAGCGGAGAGTCAGTGTTCTGATTGACGGTTCCCTGATCATTGTCCAAGTCAAGCCAGAGGATGCTGGGAAATACACCTGTGCTCCTAGCAACAGCCTTGGCCTACCACCGACTGCCTCTGCTTACCTGACTGTGCAATGTGAGTGAGCTACTCAGCAAAGATGGTCCCCATCTTCTCCTCTTCTACTTTTGTGTGCCCTCCGTTTTCTTATGAACTCATGGCATGAATATCCATTCATCCATTTTCTGTACCACTTGTCATTAGAATCACAGGTGAGCTGTATTCTACCCCAGCTGATTTAAGGCGAGAGTGGGTTACACCCTGACCTGGGATATTCATAGCAGACAAAAAAACTGGACAAAATAAAGATTCACATTCACCCCCCCCCAAAAAAATCTGCAAAAACAGAGTGAACATGGAGAGAAATCATTTGAAATATTAATACAGCGTGCTGCACAGCATAAAGATATTGCATGCAAATTAGGTGCTTGAAAGATGTACCGTATTTTACGCATTATAAGGCGCACCTGAAAGCATTCAATTTCCTCAAAAGGCGACAGTGCACCCAAGAATTCGATGCGCCTAATATAAAGAGACTGTAATTCTCTTTATATTCCCCATTGAGTTGTTTTCCTGTTAGTGTTCCTCTGCCATCTAGTGGGGATTATTAGCAGGAACAATTGGAACCGAAAAGGGTTCTGCCTGACACTAATTGGGCCGCTTATGGATGTGAGCCCGCGAGGTTTGTGTGCCTTTCTGTTGAATCAATTGTCGTTAGAACTTTTGTCTTTCATTTATTGTTTTGTAATGCCATTTGTATTTATATGGTTGATGTTGGTTTTTGTGACCATGGCTTTGTTACAGCTGCAGCGGTTGTGAAGGCTCTATATAAATAAAGCTGTATTGTATTGTATTCCTTTAAGCGTAACACCATCTAGTGGATGCATAGCGCAACCACAGCCCCTACTGTAGCCTCTATTCTCTGCCCCTTATAATGCAGCAAGCCCTATATATGAAAACAGTTATAAAAATAGTCCATTCATTGAAGGTGTGCTTTATAATCCGAAGCTCCTTATAGTGCAGAAAATACGGTACAGAAAGCAACTGTGTGCTAACGACAATGTTATTCATCATACAACAAACTCAACACAGCAATGTGTCGTTACGGTCATAACTAGTTGGAATATGCCAAACGGCCATGACTTGTTGCAGCCTAGCTAGTGGTGAGCGATATTTCTCATCATGTGTTTTTATTTGGTCGTTGAAAATATGTTCTCATGGCTAGTGACAACTACAGAGCTTGGGGACTGCTGCTTATTTTATCAATAAATTATGCGTGGATGTTTGTGTGTGGACAATGTGCATTGTTCGAACTTCAATGCCAAGTCAATATTTACAAAATCTTGTGATTGATATATTCTTTAAAACTTTCAGATATTAATTTGTAATTGTACTAATCATTTAGCGATAGAGATATAAAACAAATGCAAGAACAAACATATCTATATATCTATCTATCCATCCATCCAACCTTGTGCACAGTCCCACTGTAATGTTCCTGACAGAAAATATGAAAATCAAGATGAATTGTTCGGGAAGTGAATTTCTATGGTTTGGCAGGACTGGTACATCAATGTTTGTTTGCCACAATAAAGACTGGTAACCATGGCAACAGCTCTAAAGATTCCACAGATGGTGTTTAGTTAAACATCGCTATTGTTGTACAGTATTTAAAAGAAGAAACATCTTACCTCCAGGGCTTTTGAAATCATGCAAATGAATTGCTAAACAAGCCATTTTTGAAGAGTGAGGCACTTCTGTTGCATAAAATGGAATTGCCCAATTCAAGGAAACTCCAGAGCTACCTTATCATTTGTGTGAAATATGTAGACCAGACCACCTAAAAATATGCCTATCCGTGTTCTCCCCACTTACCACGCTCCCAGTGACCCGTCACTCATCGCAAGTAACTACTAGAACACATTTACAGGGTTTTGACAGTTGGATGTGGAGCAGAATGGCAATACTATACTGACACCGGCAGTAGTCAAGGCAACAGATGTTTTGCATTCCCTCACTGGCCCGCCTCTTCAGATTATTCGACATCAACGTGTGCTGTGTGTGACAAACAGAAGCAGGCAACACCAGTCTTGGGGAAAGAGGGAGGGAGGGTGAGGAATGGGATTACATCATTGCTGTTAAAGCAGGTCTGTTTCTCGGTTCAACTGCAGAGGGCTCTCTCTCTCTCTCTCTCTCTCTCTCTCTCTCTCTCTCTCTCTCTCTCTCTCTCTCTCTCTCACACACACACTCTCCTTCCCTCGTGATAGTATTATTGTCCATCATTAATGCCCATTTCATCTGCTCTGCGGCCTACACTGTAGTCTAATGCTATTCCTGAATTCCACATTTGCTCTCAATTATTATTTTGATTTAAAAAAAAAAATTATCATACTCTGTTTAAAATCTTGCTCCCACAATTTTCTATCGCGTCTATGGCAGCCTCTCTCCCGAGGTACTTTCCAGCGAATAACTGCATCTTGCAGTGGGAACCAGCGGGTCATGAGCAATAGCGCTGTCTGCAAGCAATGGCTGTGTCTGTGAGCTATTTTTAGAAACTTGGCTGATATTCTTGTCTGTGGTAGTGGTAGCAACTCTCCTCTGGGCTCTTTATGCCAAAGTGCTGCCAAGCTGGTGGTTTGGACTTTGGAGGTTGCAAATTTTAATTCGTCATTATCACAATAATTTCTTGATTCACTCGGTTCCACCCTAAAACTCCGCCCCCTGCCCCCCATCTCCACTCTTTCGCAATACCAGATGTCATTATCACAGTCACAGCACCTCCAACACTCCTACCTCCTCTGCTGGCTTCTCTCTACCTTACGTCATCTGGAACATCTCTCACTCTCTCTCGCTCTCTCTCACTTTCTCTCTCTCTCTCTCTTTTGCTCTCATGCTCTGCCTCGCTGGTCCTTCCTCTGTCATGCCAATAATTTTCACTCAAACTCCTCCTCTAACTTCCACCGCCATCATTTTATTATTTTGATGATATCTAATTTAGGTTGCATTATTGGCTTTCTTACTACTGTATTTTCACGACCATTCGGCACACCGTATTGTTGGGCGCAGTCTCAGTAACGGGTGCTATTTCTGTATTTGACACATACACAAAACACACTGTATTATTGGGCACAGCCAGGCACGGTAAAACATACGCCAGCTTAAACATATGGCATGCATGCACGCACGCTAAAAACACGTTAGCTTGAAGCATACGGTAGCATGCATGCACGCTAAAACATACCAGGTATGTTAGCTTAAAGCATACGGTAGCAGCTAAGACATACGGACACATGCTAAAAACACGTTTTTAAAAAGGCAACGGAAGCAAAACTGAGTTCGGTTGTACTTTATTTAGCCATTTTAAAATGTACTCACGCGACTGGTACCTGCTAGGGGCGTGCCTTTAGCGTCCTCTTACACGCCCACCCTTCACTCATTGGCGACTGGTACCTGCTAGGGGCATGCCTTTAGCGTCCTCTTACACGCCCACCCTTCACTCATTGGCG